CACACACACTATATATAAAAAACATTCTTTCCTGATTAAAACTCTCAGTTGTACACACCTGCATCGCAATAGCTGGGGAGTATGAGGCAGAAGGATTGCAAGTTCAAAACCAGCCTCAGCAACTTAGCAAGGCCTTAAGCAACTTAGTGTAAAATTTAAAAAGGGCTGGGGATGTGGCTCAGTGGTAAAATGATCCTGGGTTATATCCTCTATTAAAAAAAAAAAAAAAAAAACCCACAAAACAACCACAACAACAAAAAACACTGCACCAGAGGATCTAGCCAGTGCAATCAAGTAAGAAAAAGAAGTAACATAATGCATTCTGCTGTCATGTAGTTAAAAAATAAAATCAATTTAAAAAAAAGTAGTAGTAACAGGCATAAAGATCAGAAAGAAGTAAAACTGTCTTTATTAGCAGATGGCATGATGATTTATATAGATTCTGGAAGCTACCAAAAAATCCACGAGAATAAGTCAGTTTAGCAAGGTTGTAGGATTCAAGTTCCATATCAAAAAATCAATARTATTTATTTATGTTAGGTGCAGCGGCACAGACCTGTAATCCCAGCAACTTGGGAGGTTAAGGCAGGAAGACATCAAGTTCAAGACTAGCCTCTGCAACCCAGTGAGAACATGTCTCAAAATAAAAAAGGGGACAAAGCTCTAAAAGGCTGGGGGACATAGCTCAGTTGCAGAGTGCCCTGGGCTCAATCCCTAATACCAAGAAAAGGAGGGGGAGGGAAGGAGGGAGGGGAGGAGAGACAGAAGAAAAATTATTTATCTATTAGGAACAATATATTGAAATGTAAAACAATATCATCTTATGGAAGTATTATTGACAAGAGCTAAAAAGTAGATGTAACCCAAATGTCTATAAATGCATGAATAGATAATCAAAATGTGGAATATTAATAGAATTGTTCAGCCTTAAAAAAAAATTCTGACATGCTACAACATAAATGAATTTATGCTAAGTAAAACAAGACAGTCACAAAATAGAAATACTATTTGATGATACTATATGATTCTACTCCCATGAGTCACCTAGAGTAGGCAAACTCATAAAGACAGAAAGAAAGTAGAATGAGTGGTTGCCTGGAATTGGATACAGAATTTCAATTCTTCAAGATAAAATATTATAAACGTTTCAATACCACTGAACAGCACATTTTAAAAAACCATTAAAATGGTAAATTTTATGTTATATATATTCACCACAATTAAAATAGCTTTTAAGCTGGGCATGGTGGCACACATATAATCCTAGCTACATGGGAGGCTGAAGCAAGAGAATCACAAATTCAAAACCAGTCTGTAATCCCAGCAGCTCAGGAGGCTGAGACAGGAAGATCACAAGTTCAAAGCCAGCCTCATCAACAGCGAGGCACTAAACAACTCAGTGAGAGCCTGCCTCTAAATAAAAACACAAAATAGGGCTGGGAATGGGCTCAGTGGTAGAGTGCCCCTGAGTTCAACCCCCCAGTAGCCCCCCCCCAAAAAAAAAGAAAAAAACAGCCTGGGCAATTTAGTGAGATCTATCTCAGAATAAAAAATTAAAAGATCTGGGGATGTAGAGTACACCAAGTTCAATTCTTATTACCACAAAACAAATAACAATAAAGCAGATTTTAAAGATTAAAAGGCCATTAAAAAAAAATTAAGCCAGGCATGATAGCACACGCCTGTCATTCCAGTGACTCAGAAGACTGAGGCAGGAGGATTGCAAGTTTGAGGTCGTAAGTAACTTAGCAAGATCCTGTTTCAAAATAAAAAATAAAAAGGACTAAGGATGTAGCTCAGTGAAAGAGTATCCCTGGATTCAATCCCCAGTACCACCAAAAACAAAAACATAAAAACTTCTCTTCAAAAACACAATGTTAAGAGAATTAAATTGCAAACTACAAACTGAAAGATTTGCAAAACAGATACCTAAAAAAAGGGCTTATATCCAGAATACAAAAATCTTTTCAAGGAACTGGGGTTGTGGCTCAGAGGTAGAGTGCTTGCCTACCATGCATGAGGCACTGGGTTTGATCCTCAGCATCATATAAAAATAAAATAAAGATATTGTGTCCACCTATAACTAAAAAATATTAAAAAAAAACTTTTCAAAACTTAACATTACAAAAAACACAATTAGAAATGGGTAAACAATCTGAAGAGACACATCACCAAAAGTGTAGTTTGAAAATAAGGACATGAAAAGATGTTCAGCATTAGTCATTAAGGAAACACAAACTGAAACTATAATCAGATACCATTACAGACACATTAGAATGTCTAAAATTAAAGAGACTAACCATATGAAGTGCTGGTTGTATACCAAATTGTTCAACCACTTTGGAAAACAGTCCTGCAGTTTTTCGTTTTGAGCTGGGGTTTTACTGGGCTGTCCAGGCAGGCTCTGAGCTACTGGGCTCAAGCCATCTTCCTGCCTCAGCCTAGACTACAGGCATGTGCCACCATGCCCAGTTTTGGTTTTTTTTTTTTTCCAATATTTTTTTACTTGTTGATGGGCCTTTATTTTATTCATTTATTTATATGCTGTGCTGAGAATCTAACCCAGTGCCTCACACATGCGAGTGCTCAACCACTGAGCAACAATCCCAGCCCTCTCATACCTCTTTTAATACTAGGTATTTTTTCATTTATTTTAAAATTTGTAAAAATTAAATTTATGATTGGATAAAGAAATAAACACACACAAAACAAAAATAAATAAATTTATTTAACTACTTCATAAAAATAAAAATTGTACAAATTAATGGGGAAATGTGATCAATATGCCAGTTTCTTGAAAGCTAAATGTTTACCTACTATATGATCCAATCATTACAGTCCTGGAGATTTACCCAAGAGGAAAAAAAACACCATATATCTATACAAAGACTAAGATAAATGTTCATAGAAGCTTTATTTGTAATACCAAAAGCTGAAAACAATCCAACAGGTAAATGAATAGATACTGTGGCATATGCGTGCAACAGCATACTCAGCAATAAGAGGATAAACCTCTGATAATATGCAACAATGAGGATGAATTTCAAAAGTTAATAGACAAAAGCCAGACCCTAAAAAGGGCACATGTCATTTGATTTCCATGTACACAAAATGCTAGATACTACAAACTCAGATTGACAGAAAGCAGATCAGTGTATTACCTGAGGAGGGAACAACAGAAGAGAGGTGAAATGAATTCCTAAGGACAAAAAAAAAAAAAACCCTGGGCATATTCACTATCTTGTTAATGGTGATGGCTTCAAAGGATACACACAACGTTGAACTAATTAAATTGTACGTTGTATGTTTTAAGTATGTTCCGTTTACCATGTCATTATACCTTAATAAAGCTTATTAAAAACAAACAAAAAAAAACATCTTCCAGAATAAGCACAGAGCAGGGTGGTAATCTCAGACTTAAGAGATATGATCCTGTCTCCCCAACATCTGTTGCTGATCAGAGATTCTGGGAGGTGGAAACYAGGTACCACTGCACTCAGAACTCTGAAGGAGTCATGGCCCACTGAATAGAAAAGGAAACAAACCCAGAGATGTTATCTTACCCAAGGTTACAGAACTAGTAATAAATGGTATCACCAAATCAAAACAGATAAGCCTAATACTAAAACCTTTCTCCTTCTCTTCATCTATCACAAATTCAAAAAGTAGACCTAAACAAGTAGGTGGAGGTGTATATATGCTTGTGTATATGTGCTTAGAACAGACAATTCTCTCCTCTGAAGCCAGAGAGCCAGAACCCCTCTGGCCATTCCAGAAGAGCCAGGCACCGTGGACACTGCAGCTGAACTTCCGGTAAGTGAGTGAGTGGGAGGAAGTGTGACAGGCACGGGATGAAGCTGACAGACGAGTTTGGGTTTGCATGAGTAGCAGGCTAACCGGCTTCTCCAGCAGTCCCAGCCACCACCACCACCACTCCCTCTGCCTCCACAGGAAAGCTCTATCTCCACCCAGTGTAGTTCAGGAGCACTGGGGTCTGGGAGTTATCTGACTCAGCCACTCAAGGTTGCGGCAAAGATGGGTCCCGGTTAAGGTCCTGAAGCAGGCAGCAACTCTGCATGCATCCCTACCTGAGAACTACAGAAGCAACCAACAACCCTGACAGTGCCAGGAAAGGAGTGAACAGCCCTAGAAAGATAAAGCCCATAAGCTGCTAACCAAGCCCCCAAACCACYCCAGGAATGAGCAGGGCTGGCATTCAGGCCACATGAGTCAATAAGAAGTCAAATCTAGCCTCTGGCCCTGGCCTCTGTAAGCCCCACCTCTAGGCTAGGCCAGGAGTGGGCCCTACAGGACTCAGAGCCCACAACACCACAGCTACCCATCTGTCAATCTCCACTGGGTGAGGTTAAGGCCTGCACCACAGACACAGTCCAGAGTACAGCAGTGCAGGCACACCTTCCTCTCCCACCTTTTTCACATTGGGATCCCAAGGTCCCACTCAGACAAAAGACCYGACAAGTTGCTCTCTGCTCTTCTGCCCACTTTTCAACCTTGGCTCTGGGCCATTAGTATAAATCAACCATGACAAGACCTCATGGCAGGAGCAGATCAGGCTCGTGCCCAAGCTACTGGCTGCCACACTTACATCTCAGCTCATGTGGCCAACAGGGTTACAAGGGTCTGATGCCTTCTTCCTTTCTCTTAGTGGCTGGAAGCAACTTGTGCTGATCACAACATGCACACTATTGTGTGGAGGCACCCCAAACTCCATCAGTAGACAGGTGGAGGGGGTAATTACTTCCCCTGCAACTTAAAACCTGGGACTATCCCTGTTTTCCCTCTGCCCAGACCTGGCAACCACCCAGAGGATCTCCTATCCAGTCTAGGCTAGGAGATGGATGCTCCATCACTCCATTTGCTATATACATTACTGGAGGGAAATGTCAACCTAAAAGAACACAAAAGCAGTTTGGAAAGCACCCTCTTTTGGGCTTCCAAACACATCCACTCCAGCTAAGAACAGAACTGGGCTTCCTTACCTGCCTCTTTCAGCTGCCTCCCTGCAGAAAAATCTTCGATGATGCCCAGGATGAAGAAACAGAAGAGGATCCTGCAGGCCACTTCCTGCCCTTGGGCAATGGCTTCAGAAGCTCTCAGGTTCACAGTGCTGTTCTGTGCCCCAATCCCCAACCTCCTACATCCTGTACTCCCTTCGGCCCAGGAGGGATCCCAGTGCCAAGCTGGTGGCCTGCGGGTTACCACCTCCTCCTACGCCTGCGCCTGCGGGTCCTGTGCCCCTCGGGGGGTCCCTCTCCCTCCTGAGACCCCTTCCCGTTCAGATACGTTTCCTGGACAGCCCAAACCACCTGTCCCTCCTGCACACCTGGCAGCCAATTTGCTTCCTGCACTCCCAGGCGCCCTTCCCCGTCAGGCCCCTGGGGACCCACAGGCCGGGCCCTCCCCACCAGCTCAAGAGTGTCTCGACGCGCAGGGGCCGCTCCCAGGACCCCCGCCTCGAGTCTGAGGTGCCCGCAGCTCTCCCAATTCTGCTCACCCTGCTCGCCCGAACTTTCGAGCCCCTCCCCGCGCTCACAGAAGCGGTCCCCGAACCCCGGCAGTTGCTCAGGCTGCTGCAGCAGCCTGCGTGGGCTCCCCTCCCCCCGTTCCTGCACCCCGGCGCGGGCCTCGCCCCGCTCCTGCACTGCGGGGCTGCCTCCCCCCTTCTCCTGGTGTTGCTTGCGGGGCCCCAGCCCCTCCTCCTGCGCCACAGGCCAGCCGGCCGAGCCCTTCCACCCAGGCGAATGCCTCCAGTCCACGCGGTTTGTCGGCCCCCACRCCACTCCCAGGTTGGGCTCGTGCCCGCGACCGCCCCGCTCCTGTACCCCCAGACCCACCCCGCCCTCCTCCTGCACGGCCGGACCCACTCCGCCCTGCTCCTCCACGCCGAGCTTCAGCCCGCGGAGCTGCTGCGGGCCCCAGCTGAGAACCCCGACTCGTTGCGGCTGTTGCTCCGGCAGCGCTGGGCTAAGCCCGCCACGCTCCTCCTGGGCTCCCCGCAGGGGACCCCCCGCCCCCACAGCCCAGCGCACTCGCCTGCCCCCGAGAGGCCGCGCGCTCCCGCCCCTCCAGATGGTGCTGCCCTAGGCGCCCGCTCACACCGCTCCCCGCCCGGCTCCTTCCGCCTCAGCCCCCAGGGGAGGGGGCTGCGGGGTCCCCACCCCAACCGCTTCAGGGCCGCCCCCGCGTCGCGAGCCCTCCTCCCCACCCTCGCCTCCGGGCGTTGACGTCGGCCGCCGGGCGCCGCGCCCCGCGCCGGCCCCCGCAGGTGCTGCGGCCCCGCGCGCCGGCCGTCAACGCGCTAGCTCCCRCCCGGTTTCCCGGAGCCCGCGCGCGCCTGCGCCGCCCCGGGGGGGCGGGACCCGGCTGGTTCGGTCCGCCCTCTTAAAGGGCCCAGGCCCATTACTTCTCCACCGCCTCCTCCTCTGGGCCCCCCCGGATCCACCCCCTATTCTCCCACCTGCCACTGGCTGGCTCTGGCCTTCCTACAGTTCCAAAGGCAGGAAAGGTGAAGCGAAAGTTGGGAAGTCTCACTGAATTAAGGGAGATGGGGAGCACTGGAATTCGAGTCTGCCATCTAAATAGCAGTTCAGCAGCTGCTTATTTACCCTGTGAGTTAAAATGTCACCACCAACCTCAATTGCTTGGCTCTAAGTGAGGAGGGTGGTTTGTAAGGTTTCCAAGGTCACAACCAGTGAGAGTGGGACTCTAATCCTAATCTCTGGGAGTCTAGAAACCTGGGCCTTCTGCACTCTTTCCCTGGGCCAAGGGAGGGATTCTGAACAAGGGAGAATTTGTCTCATGCCTGTGACATTTCTCTCTGGGGCCTTGAGCAGAAATAGTCCAAGCAAAGGGGGGGGCCTTCTTCCTGCATTGCTCCCTCACAAGTCCTCTTCTCCCTGCTCACATACACACATAAGGAGAAAATTCAAATTTCTGATTCTTAGTAACATTGCAGCCTGGAAACCCAGATCCAACCCTCAATGAGGCAGCCCTAGGCAGCAGGACTTAGAACCCACAGACTTAGAGCCACTCAGCCCTGTTACTGTCTCTTTCTCATCTATAAAATGAGTATAACAAAGCAACTCAAGAATGAATGAAGCCAGGTGTGGTGGCCCATGCCTGTAATCCCTGTGGCTCAGGAGGCTGAGACAGGAGGATCATGAACTCAAATCCAGCCTCAGCAAAATCAAGGTGCTAAGCAACTCAGTGTGAAACCCTGACAGTAAATAAAATACAAAATAGGTCTGTGGATGTGGCTCAGTGGTAGAGAGCCTCTGAGTTCAATTCTCAGTACCAAAAAAAAAAAAAAAAAAAGAATGAAGGATCCAACATCAGGGAATAGGCAGGAGTAACACTATTTACCCCTTTGATGAGTTGGACTTCCTCTCCCTTTACCCCAATTCTAATATCTGAAGAAAAGCCACACTTAATGATTGCTAACTGCTAAATTTTTCCTTAGATATGCAAAAYCCAAATATTTGGTGATCTTCAGATAATATTAGAATGTGCAATGTTATTCTAGTCCTGTGTATAAACAAACCCAAAATAAGTTGCTGTGAGGTTTAACTAGCAGAAAAGTAATGTTTGTCTAAAGAATTACCGGAACTAGCCCCAGGAGATCAAGGCAATGGAAGTATTCTAGCCAGAGGGAAAAAACAGACACTCAATAGATGGCAGAAGACTTAACTGCTCAGCACTTAACCTTTCAGCATTTTATACCTCTGATCCTCCTTTCCCTCTCTATAAAAGTCTTTTCATGTACCTGAGTTCCCCAATATATTCTTTTGGTGGGGGGATAATAACTTTTCTCACCCCATCTCAGAATACCAGTCCTTGAATAAATCTGATCTCTTTCCATCAGCTCTTGGCTTCAAGAGTATTGACTTTTGAGTGGTGATCAGATGGACTTAGGTCCAGTAAAAAACACATTGTCTAGCATTAGGCCCAAAGACCATAGCCAAAGGACAGTAAGACAACCAGAAAGGGAGTGAGTTCCAGATACCTACACAGGGCCTAGTCTGGGTGGGTGGATGGGGTTGGTGCCTCRCCCTGTGAGGCAAGCAAGACAACTTTCTACTTACTTACTTGATAATACTATGTGTGATAGGATCCCTTCCCCATGGAGCCATGGAAGTGAATACACCCTACCATAGACAGAGTCTTTCCCTTGTTGCCTCCTCTCAGGAAAAAAAAGTCAGAAGTTCAATAGATTTGAGGGAAAAAACAGGGATTCTTCCAACCTCTCTCAGCTACATACCTCAGTAATGATAATCATTAAGGTTTAAGGAACCTAATTGTGGATAKGGCATTGCACTTTGCATTTATTCTCATGAAACCACCATAGAAACCCAGTAAGATGCATATTATCCCCCCTCCCCCATTTCACAGATGATAGGCTCCACCTTTAAGTGATGCTCAGGTCACAAAGCTGACAGTAGAAAAGCCAGAAATCAAATCCAGTTTTTTGACTCTAGTCTATGCACTGAATCACTAAGGCACAATAAAGCAACATTAACCTGGAAGGCTTGCTGTAAGAAGTATTAGGACTAACTAGATTTCAGTGGTCAATAGATGCAAACAACTGGTTTGGAGCAAATTATCCTGCAAGCTTATCGAGCATCAATCAAACAAAGCAAGAGGTCAAAACAGCTCCTAGGTGATTCTCTTCAGGGAGCCCAGACTCCCATTCTTCCATTTCTCCTCCAGTTTCTCTCAAGAGCCAGATCCATACTTATTTTTTTTAATGCTTATTTTAATTATAGGTGAACACAATACCTTTATTTTATTTTTATATGATGCTGAGGACCGAACCCAGTGCCTCACGCAAGTGCTCTACCTCTGAGCCACAACTCCAGCCTCCATACTTCTTACAAATACCTAGTGCAGGGTTACCTGTAGCTTTAGACTTGAGAAAGAGGAAAGTCTCTTTCTTCTTCATGTTCTCCAGTTCTTCATCAGCTCCTGGACTGTGCTCATCATACCATTGAACTSTGGGGCCGTGCTGGGAGATGTCTTTGAGGTTGTGTCCATCTCCACATCATTCTGTAACTCAAGTACAAGTGGCCAGAAAAACACCTAGGAAGACCACTTTGCCAGCATGAAGCTGACAGTGTAATGGAGAAAAGAGCCTCTGAGTAAAAAAAGCAGAAGGCTCAAGAAATTTAGGAGGTGGTTGCAGGGGAAACCACAAGCCTCTAAGGTACCTGAGCCAGTCTCTTCCCAGATTTGGAACTTTAGGAGAGCTGCCCACAGCAGAATGACTGTACAAGATGAAGGGCTTGTCAGGTCTAGTTCTAAACAGAGGGGGCCCAAGCTGCTAGAAGGAAGCTTTTGGTGATTCCCTGAAAAACCTCCACCATGAGGTGGTTGCCCTTCAGGGTAAGCAAGAAGGCAAGGCAGGCACTGCAGGGGTGATGGGCAGCCCAGCTCACACCTGCAGTAGATGCTTAGCCAAGAGTGCATCCTGCTACTGAGTGAAGGTTTTTTTCTTTCTGGTTTGCTTCCCCACCACCACCACCCAATTTTTATTTAAATTTATTTAAGATCACGACCTTACGTTTTCCAGAGAGTAAATACGAAACAAGAAAGACTTGGTCTTAAATATATAAACAATGTGTTGGAGTTTAAAGCATTACTTATAACATTGTTCCAGAAGAATGTCAGCTTACTCCAAGACACTTCAGTATTCCTCAGGAATAAACATGATTTCTCTTGTCCTCCACTGGGATGTTCTCAGTATACATCACTGCTCCTGCTCTTTGACATATTTTCCATGAAGAAGATATGGAGCCTGGAAATCATGCTGGCAGTTGGAGTAGGCCATCCCCAATCCTGAGTGTAAGGATGGCCTTAGGCCTTAGCCTAAGCAACTCCATTTTAAAACTCCAGTTTGAAACCTGCAGTCTCACAAGGCACACCTACAGAGCTCTCCAGTATGGYCCTTAGGCACAAACAAATCACTTCTCCCCACCCTGACAAACTCTGAGTGAAGTCTTTGGCATGTTATTATTGCCCTGATAAGGAGCAAGAAAATCAGGGAGGGGCCACCAGACCAGGTGATTTAATGTCAGGACCAAAGGCATCACTGAGAAATCCAGTGATAGCAGCTGATAGGGATTGAAAGGGTGGTYAGAAGCCCCAAAATTTAGTATAAGTGATGGAGCAAATGAACAGACATTCAGCCAGCTGACACTGATGCACACAAGTCTGATGAGGACCTGGACTGACATCTCAACTTTTCTCATCTGCCTGATCCTCTGCATTGTTCTTGCCATTCTCAAACTCTACAGCAGCCTCTTGACTCTAGTGAGAAAAGGACTTCTCCCTATGACCCTCTCCTCAGATGGCTATAAGCTCCACCCCAGGAGAAGCCTGCTTTGGTTCCTGATCTGATCACCATGGTCTGAGTGTGCATCTGCTGGACTTAGAGCCTAAGGCTTGAGACTTTTGATCTGACACTTGAATTTAGCATGCAGAGGGAATGTCTGTCACTAGCCTGTCATGATTAAGTGTGTTTGCAGTGCTTAGAATTAATCTAGAATTT